GGCCTGCCCGTGTGAGTCGGGAAATCCTGGTTTTTCACCCAATTTCGAGCCACAAGTGGGGAATCGGATTTTCAGAGCAAAAACAGAGCCCTAGAGAGAGAAAGTACGAAGAACACATCCTATAAGCTATCTTAGAGCTGGATTTCATCAAATCGAGCTTGGAGATCGTCATAGGAGTGGAAATCATCATCCCAGAGCAGATTTTCCTCATCTTTATGAGTATGACTACTCTGATTACTGTTTTCTTCTCTCTCTCTCTATGGAGTAGAACCCTTCTCTCACTTGGGAATGAAGAACCCTAGTTTCTTGTGTTAGGGATTTGGTTGTAATGACTTGGGATGATTATACTGTTTGGTTTTAATCGAATGATGCATGTTTATTGAATTGATTGAAGTCTGATCAGCTTTTCTTGATTTCTGCTGCAACCTTAGATAGATAGAATCTGATTAGGTTGTTAGAGCCTCTTCATTCGATAGTAGGAGATTGGCTATACGAGAGTTAGCCAGTTTACTGCTTTGTACTGGAATTCAATTCCAGTAGTGGAGTTCTGCACTTATTGCTTCAGCTTTCTATCCCGGTGAAGACTAGTCGTCTGCCGGGTAGTTATACTGAGAGGGCTTGGTCAGCTTAAGAGATTCCAAGCTACTGTCGGATCTTCCACAGTCTAATCAACAGTAAATCAACCCAGGGTAATTACAATTGAACCTAACTAAGGAGCTAGGGGGACTCATTCCCGAGTGACTCTTCCCTGCTTTTGAAAACCGAACCATTTCCTGCTTTCTTACTGCTTTTGCTTTAAACAACAATCACTCGAATTAGTTGGCTAGATAATAGATAATCACGGAGTAAGCAGTAGATCTAGACCCCGGGTTGATAATAGAACTTGCCTGTTACTGCATTCCCGGACTGCGATTACACTTGGTCGCAGTTTGGTGTTGTGTTTTGGCGTGTCATATGTTCTGGTCTGGTCCATGGCATGTATTATTTTATATTTTGATTTCTTTGTCTGGTCTGGTCTGGTCTGGTCTAAACCGCGGTTTACCAGACCAAACCGTGGACCCAACTGACTTGTCAATGCGTGTTAACAGCCCATTCGACCACTCTCTCATCTCCCACAACAACACCCAAGTCTCAACCTTAGTTTTGTGAATCTCGTCCCTCCTTCATTTACAACCCCATTTAACCAGAGAGTAGAGATAATTGTGTCTCCATATGACATTATGTTAATGTTTATGACATTATGGTGCAAGTTGGGGTGCTTTTACTTTGTATATTTGTTATGTACTAAGATTTAGGGTATCAAAATTATTCATGCATGTTAGGATTAATGTGTTAAGGAAAATAACAATTATTTTTCTTGGTTATGGGTTTGATTTTTTGTGTGGTAGACTAAACAAATTATTCATTTTTCGTTGAGTGTGGTCTATCTAGACCAGACCAGACCGCACAAGCGTGGTCTGGACCAGACCGTATAGTTTGCGGTCTGGTCTGTGGTCTATACTTCAGCCTGTCGGTCTGGACCATAGATCGTATATATGGTCTGGTCTGGACCAGACCGCACCGTTTCCCAGCCCTACAGAAGGTGATGACCAAAGTGTCGAACCTGATGGAAGGCAGATGGCAATGGCCATTGAAAATTGAAAATCCTTGATGATCGTTTGTAGATAAGGTGCATTAATTTTTTTTATGGTTAAAGTACTTTCCAGGAACTGCAGGGGCACTAGACACCCCAAATTTCACTTGACATTTATGGAGTATAAACCGATGTTTCGTCCTGATGTGGCTGATGGAATTGATGTTATCAAGACAATGGGGTATGACTCATGGAAGATTTTTTATGTTGTTGGTTTTAGTGGGGGGAATTTGGGTCATGTGGGATAGTACAAAGTTGAATCTGGAACAGGTTGACAAACATAAACAGTTTGTCCACCTAAAATGTGTTGGTGGAGGTATGGTTCATTTTCTGCTGACTGCAGTTTATGCCAGTCCTAACGAGCATGAGAGGAAGGATCTTTGGGAGGAGGTTAGAAGAATTGAGCAGGATGTACAGTCTCCATGGCTGATCCTTGGAGATTTCAACTCAATTACCAAACCTTCTGAGAAACAAGGCGGTGCTGCTTTCAATCCTGCCAAGGTCAAGGCTTTTAAGGAGTGTATTGATGACTGTGGACTCGTCGAACTAGGATACTGCGGACCTAAGTTTACGTGGTTCACAAGAAATTCCACACTACGTGAAAGACTGGATAGAAGCCTGTGCAACTCAATGTGGAAACAACGCTGCCCTGCAACTTTCAATCTGCATCTTCCGAAACTGAGGTCTGATAATAGACCTATCTTGACCTGCACGGAACTGGACACTGACAGCAAAAATTTGACAACCTCAAGACTTGGAATAAAGAGGTGTTTGACAACATCTTCAAGCAAAAGAAAGACCTTCTGAGGGATCTCAAAAACTTGGAAATCCTGAATGAGAGGAATCCCTGTACCAGTTCTCTCAACAAGGAGCAAGAGGCGAGGGAAAAGCTCGATATGACATTGTGGAATGAAGAACTGCTCTGGATTCAAAAATCGAGAGCCAACTGGGTGGTGAAGGGTGATCAAAACTCTAGATACTTCCACACAAGCACCCTTAGTAGAAGGAGACACAACAGAATCATTGGCCCCAAGGATAACGAAGGACAATGGATCACTGATCCTGACCGACTCCAGACTATGTCGAAAGAGTTCTACATGAACCTCTTTACCAGGGAACCTCCTTCCTCTTATATCTCCCTTCCTGCTTGTTTTCCTTTGCTTGCTGAGTCTCTGATGACTGGCTTGATTTCCATTCCAACTCAGGTGGAGATCAAAGACATCATCATGGAGATGAATGGGTTGAAAGCCCCTAGTAAAGATGGTTTCCACGCCATCTTCTACCAGAAATGCTGGGACATAATTGAATTTGATCTTACATGCTTTATCCACTCCTGCTTTAGAGAACCTTATAGGATTAGCACTATTAAGGAAACACTGCTTGCTTTAATCCAAAAATTGAAGCTCCTTAGTCGATGAGCCAGTTTAGACCTATAAGTCTTTGTAACGTTGTGTACAAAGTGATTGCCAAGAGTTTAGCCAACAGGATTAAACCTCTTCTGCTTGTTCTCATCCACCCTAATCAGTCTATCTTTGTACCTAAGAGACATATTACTGACAACATCGTTATCCTGTAGGAAACGGTGCACTCTATGGCTAGAAAGACAGGAAGGAAAGGATCTATGCTCCTCAAGATAGATCTGGCTAAGGCATACGATAGAATCAACTGGGACTTCCTCGAGGAAACACTTGTGGAAGCTCACCTCCCAGTGGAATGCATCAGAATTATCATGGTATGTGTGACTACGACAAGGTTCCAAGTTCTATGGAATGGAAGGGAGACTTAATGCTTTACTCCATCAAGAGGATTGCGTCAAGGATGTCCAATTTCTCCCTATCTCATTACTTTATGTATGGAAAGAATGTTTCATACTATTGTAGAAGAGGTTAGGATTAAAGAATGGAAACCTGTGAGGCTTTCTCCTAATGGACCTGACCTGTCTCACCTGTTCTTCGCGGACGACCTTGTGCTTTTTGCTGAGGCTAGCCCGAAGCAGGATGATGTGGTCATGTCTTGCCTGAACAGATTCTGTCAAGCCTCTGGAGAAATGATTAGTAAAGACAAATCCAGAGTTTTATTCTCTAAAAACGTCCAAAAAAAAAACCAGGACTGAGGTCTGTACTAAACTTGGGATTCAATCCACTAATGACCTAGGTATATACTTAGGGGTTCTTGTCTTGCATGGTAGACTGAACAACAATATCTACAGGTTCATCGTTGAGAAAATGGATAATAAACCGACCATGTGGAAAGCCAGAACCCTCTCACTTGCTGGGAGGGTCACCCTTGCCACATCTGTGTTGAATGCGCTCCCTAGTTATGCTATGCAATCATTTGTCTTACCTGCCACTGTTTGTGATGCAATTGATAGAAAGATCTGAGGCTTCATTTGGGGATCCCATGTTGGAGGCAGGAAATCCCACCTGATCTCTTGGGAAACAATATGTAAAACTAAAATCAGGGGGGTTTGGGTCTGAGGTCTGCTAGATGTATGAATAGAGCCTTTATGTTCAAGCTTGCTTGGCAAATTTTAAACCATGGTGATATGCCTTGGGTTAAAGTTCTTCAGGGTAAATACTTCAAGAACAAAGATGGGGCCATTGTGGGAATGAAAAAGAATAATCACTCAAGCCTATGGAGAGGCATTATCAAGACAATGCCTCTGATGAAGAGTGGTTGTTGCTGGAGCATCAGAAACGGGGAAACAACCAGTTTCTGGTCTCATCCGTGACTGAAATGTGGTGTCATCCTGGATAACTATCTGACTTCAGACCTTTCTGACAGAGATAGAGAATCATCAGTGGCGGATTGGACCACAGAAGAAGGTAAGTGGGACTGGGATTGAATGAAAAGAGTCCTTCCTGATGATGCTTTGGCCTTGATTGCAGGAAAAGAGCCATCTAACCCTGAGCTAGGAGAGGACAAAACAATCTGGGGGCTTAAAAGAAATGGATGATTTCGGTTGAAGTCGGCATACTATTTGGCGGCACCAAATGAAGATGATGAGGAAACCAATGAAACCAGCTGGAAGAGTATTTGGAAATGGAAAAGACCCAACAGGGTCAGGCACTTCTTCTGGGTTGTGTTCCATGATCGTCTGATGACGAACCAGGAGCGCAAAAGAAGGAAGATCACTAGGAATGATAACTGCCACCACTGCAGGGACAAAACTGAGACGATCGAGCATATCCTTAGAAGCTGCAGCAGAGCTACAGAAATTTGGAACAAGCTTGGGAACAAAATGAAAGAAAGGAATTTGCAGCTGCCGTTGGAAGAATGGCTCCTGAAGAACCTGATGGACGAGAAGAAAGGAGTCAATTTCGGGCTCGTTTGCCGGCATCTCTAGAAGCAGAGAAACGAGGAAGTGATGGAGGGAAAGAAGTTCTCTGCACAAGGTCTGATGTGCAGAATCAATGCCTGGTTCAGCATCATCAGGAATGCGCCCCAATTTGTGAAGAGCGCTTCTTTGAAAGCAATGAGAGACATACGAACAAGGGACATTGCCTGGAAACCACCACCAGCTGGGTGGATCCAGCTCCAAAGTGATGGATCGGTTCATAGTGGAACAGGGAAGGCTGCGGCGGGAGGTCTTCTTCGTGATCACCTGGCAGATGCAGCTGTAATTTGGGAAGCTGCTCGATTACCAGTGCTGAACTGAAAAGTGCCAGCGAAGGGCTTAGGATTGCGTGGGATAAGGGCTACAGGAGAGTCGAGCTCAATCTCGACTCGGAGACAACAATCTCAATCATTAGGAACAATGCAGATGATGAACACAGGCACGGTCAAGTTGGCCTTGTTTGGCAGGCTTTTGAACCGGGATTGGGAGGTTAGAAGCTCACATGTATACAGAGGATCAAACTTTGTTGCTGATTATCTTGCTAGTTTAGGTCACGACTCCCCTTATGGCACACATCTCTTCGATGTGTGCAACCCGGGACTTACAAACTGGTTGTATTATGATGTCATGGGCATTGCCCAAGAACGTTCTATGTTCAATAGTTCAAATTTGGTCACTCTCCGTTAGTTTTTGCTAATGTGGCAGTCAACTATTATAGTTGACCGTTAAATGAGTGACGTGACCATTAAAAATATTAAAATAATATAATTTAAACATTTACAATTTCCACATCATTTTATAACTACTAAAAAATAAAAATAAAACTTAATTCCTATTATTCTATAAACACCTAAACCTACCCTTTCTCCTCCTCCATCATCGCCATCGCCGCCACTTCACCACTACTGCCGACGTTACTCACAAGAATCAAATTGAAGGACCTGCTCCTGGTGATCATGAACCTCATCCTCTCTTTCTTATGCAAAATCCTAGCTCTCCTTGCGCTGTCGAACTTGAGCCAAATCCATGGACATGGAAAGACATCTTTGCATAACAAACATCAAACAAAGAAATCACTGCTCCATAAAGCCCACTTGAAAAAAACCTTGCTTTTTAAGAAGCACCACCAGAAAAGCCATGGTGTTTCCGGGAGCTGGGTTCATGCTGACGCCACTTTCTACGGCAGTGGCAATGCCTCGGGCACAATGGGTAACCAAATTGAATAAAATCCCTGATTCCCAAATTTAATTAAAATCTCAATTTCAAAACCCTAGTTTCCAAAATCCACAATTCTGGGATTAATTTATTTTCTTTTACATTGTGTTTCGCAGGGGAGCTTGCGGCTATGGAAACCTATAAAACCAAGGCTACGACATGAAGACAGATGCACTAAGCACAACTCTGTTCAACAATGGCAGTGCCTGCAGCGCCTGCTACGAGATCACCTACGTTGAAGACGCCCAGTGGTGCATCCACGCCGTGATCACCATCACAATGACGAACCTCTGCCCACCGAACTTCGCCGAGCCGAATAACAACGTCGGCTGGTGCAACCCACCACTGGAGCATTTCGATCTCTCTGAGCTGATTTTTCTCCACATCGCGCAGTACAGGGCATGGATCGTTCCGGTTATGTACGGCGGGTGGCGTGCATAAGAAAGGGAGGGATGAGGTTCACTATCATTGGGAGCGGGTCCTTCAATTTGATTCTTGTGAGTGACGTCGGCGGTCGCGGTGATGTGGCGTCGATGGCAGTGATGGAGGAGGAAAAAGGTAGGTTGATACACCAATAATTACACATGTTTATACCTCCATTCTTGAGCCGTTTTAGAGTCGATTCTCGTGTTTTAAGTCGATTTCATGCTAGGTTGTGTGTTTATGTCATATTTCAGGACTTGGCGTTGACGTGAAGGCGAGGAAACGAGTTTCGGGTCAAAAGGAGGACGTTTGAGTAGAAGGGTGCTGGAGGAGCAGCATACCCGGCCATGAGTAATAATACCCGGCCGGGTAAATCGCTAAGAGAGGCCGGGGAAAACCATTTTTGGACGCCAGGAAGCAGGAGGGGTCCCGAGAGAGTAAAAATACCCGATCGGGTATTCTGGATCACGATCGGGTATTAACCCCTTGGTGTTGCGCTGCGTTTCAAAATCCCCGGCCGGGCACCTGAAATCCCCGACCGGGGATTACGACCGGGGATCGCGATCTGTTGATTCTTAAGGGAAAGAATGCCAACTTTTGAGGGGTTCCGAATTTTAGAGAGACAAAGCGTATACCTAGAGAGAGAAAGTGACGAACCTAATTCTTTAAGCGCCCTAGATCGATCTTCATCACCATTGGGGCCCGGCTTGAGCTTGGAGAAGTGCTGATTGAGTGCCAGAAGCAGAATCCCATCCTTCTCAGTATGGTTTCCGCATGAGCTAGATTTCCCTTCTCTCTATATGGAGTAACTTTCCCATTCACCTGGGTATGAAGAACCATAGATTTGTATGTTAGGTCTAATTGTATGAACCCAAGTATGAATTCAATGATATGATTATATTCAATTGAGGTTTGATTTCTTGAATGGCATGATCCTGATCAAATTCCGGTTATTTCTGCTTTGACCTAGAAAGAGAATATCTGCCTAGGTTGATAGAGCACCCTTGATTGAAGGTAGTGAATTGATTACTTTAGTCGAGGATTCAATTCACTATTCTGTACCGGCTTTACTTCGGTAGAGGAGGTTTGGTTCGTTAGGGCCTCAATCTGTTTACTCCGGTGGAGGTTAGTCGCCCGCTGGGGACTCAGATTTGAGAGGGTCTGGAGACCTTTAGTCGAGACTGCAGACTGTTTAAGAACCTTCTGTAGTATAACTATCATTGAACTTGAACTTGGTAAATTACAACCTGGCTTAACTGCAGTCTAGGGGGAACCATATCCGGGCGACCTCTCTCAATTTGAACACAACTTTCGCTGCTTTGCTTGCTAGTTTAACTAAACCTTCACTACACTTGAACCGCTAGATAACAAGACTTTCACGGAGTAGTCATCACACCTAGGACCTGGGTTGACAATTAGAACTAACCCGCTATACTACGCATTGGTAGGTGGTTACACTTGGCCACTTTCTAGTGTGACGGTAGAGGCGTGTCAAGTTTTTGGCGCCGTTGCCGGGGACGGCTAGGTTGTTGAAGAAACGTGATTTCTGTTAGAGTAGCATTTCCATTTTCGCATTGATTGTTTGCTTTTTCCCGTTTGTGCCTTCACGGGTTTGCTTGCTTGGCTGTGTGCAGGTAGTGCATGACTTGTAGCCAGTCAGGAGGTTTACTACCGTTAGATCCTATCTAGAACGCACCTGTCGCCAACTAAGGATACAACAACGAGCGAGACTGGCTACGGAGGAAGTGCGCATCGACGGCCACTTGAGCAGCGATTCTGAGGAGTACGAGATGGACGGTGCGCAAAACCCGCCCCAGGGGATGCCTCTCCAGGTTACCCCAGTGAATCAGATCCTGGGGAACAACCCAGTCCCCCAGGAAGATGCGGTTCGTCTTCCACCACCCCCGCTGGGTCCTACCATTGAGTACTACTACACTTCATGGGTCGCTGATATCCGCCCTTTCATCCTATATCCGCCCATTCCAGCAAACAACTTTGAGATCAAGTCGTGCTGGATTCAACTGATTACATCCTCTATCCAGTTCCATGGCTTGAAGGATGAGGAGGCAAGGGTGCATCTTTCCGGTTCCTGCAGCTGACAAATGGATTCAAGATGAATGGTGTACCCGATGATGCAATCCGTCTCCACCTTTTCCCCCATTCTCTGGCGGGGCATGCGAAGAGGTGGTTAGATGAGACAAAGCCCCCACTATCCATCACATCGTGGGATGACTTGGCCGAAAAATTTGTGCACAGGTATTATCCGGCCTCGAAGACCACGGAGATTCAGCGGGAGATCACTCATTTCCGTCAGGAGCCAGATGAGTCCCTACGTGATGCCTGGGAGCGGTACTCGGGATTCTTCTGGCAATCTCCCCATCACGGCTTCAGTGATGCATTCACAGTGGGGAATTTCTACAGCGCTCTGACCCCAAAAAGCTAGAGGGTGATCGAGTCTCTATGCCCAGGAGGGGATATTCTTACCAAGACTCCACCCGAGCTGAATCAGATGATTTAGCACTCTGACTGCCAGGGATCACTCTTGGGGGAAGAGCACCAGAAGCAGGAGTTCCCGGGATAGAGGAGTGCACGTCATGGAGGCCAGGTCCGGGCTAGAGCGGGAGGTGGCTGAGTTGGTCCAGACATTGAGACAGCCCAACAGTCTTATTCCGGGCAGAGGATTGGTCGGGCCTCCAGTGCTCAATGTTAGTGGTGTGAGAGCTCGAACCATCTGGTGGAAGATTGCCAGGCTATGCGGGAGTCTTCTACACCCCAGGAGTAGTTGGATTTCATCGCCAATGCTCGGCGCCTTGATCCTTATAGTGGTACATATAATGAAGGGTGGCGCCAGCATCCCAACTTCTCCCGGAATAACAACACCACCACTAAACCACCTGGTTTCCAAGCACTAGCAGGTGGTTTTCAGCAGAGGCAGCCTTTCCAGGCCAGGCAGGGTCCATTTCCGCAGCAGCAACCTTACCAGCCCAGACAGGGGCAACCATTTCTGCAGCCGCAGCGCCAGTATGAAGGAAAATGTTTGTAAGCTGTGGAAATCCCTATATGGGTTAAAACAAGCAATCAAACAGTGGTTTATTAAATTATCTGAATACTTGAAGGGTCTGGGATTTGAGCAATCATATGAAGACTATTATGTGTTCAAGACACCTTCTGTAGTCGTAATTGTGTATGTTGATGACATACTTCTAGCAGGCCCTGATCTAGATGAAATTCAGCCGGTGAAATTGCATTTGAAGAAAGGTTTCAAGATCAAAGATCTGGGAAACATGAAGTACTTCCTTGGATTAGAAGTGGCCAGGTCTAGTGAAGGCATTTCAGTTAATGAAATGAAGTTTTGTTTGGAATTACTTTCTTATGTAGATTTTCTTGAAAGCAAACCTGCCAAAACTCCCATAAGCATGAAAACAGTGCTTTCAGCAACTGATGGAACACCATTATCAGATGGTTCACGTTACAGATATCTGCTAGGACAGTTGCAGTACTTGACAACAACAAGACCATATATCACTTTTCCTGTACAGCAACTCTATCAGTGTCAAGGTAAGCCTACCAGTGTTCATCTAAATTGTTTACATAGAATTTTAAGGTACTTGAAAGGTTGTCCCAGTCAGGGTCTTTGATTCTCAGCAAAGACTAATCTATAACTTAAAGGGTATTGTGACTCTGACTGGGCCAACGTGTCCAAACACAAGGAAATCAGTCACTGGTTATTGCACATTCCTTGGGGATTCTCTTACCAGTTCGAAAAGCAAGAAACAAAATACAGTATCTAGATCATCCTCAGAAACTGAGTACAGAGCATTGGCACAACTCTCGTGTGAGATTCAATGGTTACGTTCACTACTTCAATGGTTACATTCACTACTCAGATTCTACAGAGTACCACATCAACAAAGTGTTCAGGTATTCTGTGATAATCAATCTGTTATTTATATTGTACAAAATCTAGTCTTTCACGAAAGAACTAAGCATATAGAAGTGGATTGTCATGTAATCCGTGAAAGATTGCAATCTGGACTTATTACATTGGATACATAGGCACCGAGGATCAATTAGCAGACCTATTCACAAAAGGGTTGTCTGCTGATCGTTTTGATTACTTACTCTGCAAGCTTGGCATGCATAGTGGATGCTCGCCAGCTTGAGGGAGCATGTGAAAGGAGATGGTGATCTTCAGCTACTGCAAACTTGAGAATGCAGTTGGGTGTGAGAAGACTGGCTAAAGCTTCCTTTCACTCTAGCTAGAGTACAACGAAGAAGCACTGAAAGCGACGACGTTTGGTACTAAATGATATAACCTCATAAGGCAGAACGTCGTCGCATTGGTAATTCTGTAATTAAAATAAACATTCCGTCGTAGTTAGACAAATGGAAGTTGTTGATAGGTTAGTTCAATTGATTAGTCAGTTTACCTTTAATGTACAGTGTAATCGTCTTCTTTGCTATATATATGAAAAACCCCACAGAGGAAAGGCATCTTGCCGATTCCCACAACCCAGGCTGTTTATTCTTTCCTTACAAACCCTAGAATTTGTTGAGCTAGGTTAAATCTTTCACAAATGCACTTTCCCCCGCGTCTACCGTAGTTGTGGCTGCCCGGTTGTACATAGATATAGAAGGAGCCCGAATGTCAGATTCGACTTCTTCGACCACTCAGGCGCCATGACTTCTTCCTCAGTCTAGCTAGGGTTTCCCGTCAAACTCCTTACCAGCGCCTTGTCATGTATCATGATCTTCTACTGTGACGATTCCTTGGTCTCAGATTCTGCGATGGTGGCTTAAGGGATTGCTATTATCAATTCCCACGATCAAGTGTACGATGGCAAGACTGAGACTTTCCTTTGTTCCTCTCCTATTCAGGCTGAAGTTATCAGCCTCCTCAACGCTATTCTTCTTGCTACCGGCGAAAGGAACCATTCCTGCGTCCGTACCGATTGTCAAGTTCTTTCAATGGCGCTCTGTTTGGACCACTCGCTTTGGCCTTGGAGTTGTCGAGCGTTGATTGCGCGTATGGTTGCAGCACTTCGCTCGGCGCCTCGAGTCAAAGTAGAGTTTGTTCCTCGATGTCAAAATAAGCTCGCAGATTGGTCAGCAAAACAAGCGCGGACGGAGTCGTTACCAGTGGATTGGGTGTTAATTTTAAATATCATTGCTCCTCTTATGTAATGAACCGATTGTTACCTTTGATTGGTGGAATAAATGGCATCACCTTTTTTTTTAAAGGCCAGCCTGGTTCCGCTAATATTTCCATCACCAGATCCACAACCACACATCCGACCTCTCTACCAAACTTACTCATCCAAATTAAAGATTTGACAACTGATCGAGTAGAGGAGTATTTATTATCCCATCTAAATTGTATTTAAGGTTTACTCATACTCACACAAAATCGGGTAGAAAACAAATTATATTCATACTCGATCGGGTTTTAAGTATCCACGATTATTTATGGATAATAATTTGTCATTTATAAATACAACCAACACGTTAATATTCACCCTATATTGACATTATATAAGTGAAAAGTATATCAATAAATCACTAGAATGAAGAAAATTAGTTAAAAATGACACAATTTCACGAACATGTTATGTATGTATAATAAAGGGTTATAGGTATAATATGCCCCTCTACTATTTTTTACATTAAATATGCCCTTGTATTTTGAAAAAATTATCAAACATGCCCTTCTTTTCAAATTTTCATTGAAAAAATCGCCAATCATGGTTGAATTGAGATTTAGACGACCCGACATCTGCAAATGGGAGGAAAAATGTCGGTTTTGTCCCCTGTTTTATTTCTATGGGTCTTTTCAAGTGAAATTATTTGAATGATTTGATTATACAAAAGAACCAAAAAAATTCTAAAGTGAATTTGGTATGGATATTTTAGTCATTTGTGTCGCCCAAACTAAAGTTCGTCCTTGGTTAACGGTTTTTGGAGGAAAGTTTTAACAAAATGGCATGTTTGATCATTTTTACAAAGTAAAGGGGCATATTATACCTATAACCCTATAATAAATATCAAATATATTCAAAATAAAGAACATTTTTAGAGAAAATGCATATGCATTGTTATTTATTTTTCAATTGTTTGTAATTCCCTATCTATTACACTTCTATCTATGGCAAAAAAAATGCATATGCATTTGTATAATCGGGCGGGTTCGAGTTGGACAGTGACAAAACATGCACACCCATTATCCACAATATTCAAATTCGGCTGTTACGCCTACCCTCTGGCCATCCTTTGGATACCAATTTCACCTTATCCAATCATATCGAAATTAGAATGAACATGCACAGTTGTAGATATTTTTGACGCCCCCTAAAATCGACCCAAATGCTCAATTAATGAATTGTACAACACCCATCATTTTGAGTTCATATATTCGTTGTACAGATTGTGATTAAGTAACTAACTAATAAGAATTGGAAGATTTTATCACTACCAGCTGGTGGCCTTTTTACGACTAGGGGAAACTAGCTATTCTCAGCTTGATTCGTGTAGTTGTTAGACAGTGAGTTTTCCTTTATTTCCATATACAGATTGCGTTCCATCTGCAGATTTGTAACACAAAAAGGAACAATCCAAACTAGCTAGCCAGTTGTTTTTTCTGTACGGATTGTGAAACAAGAAAAAAGAAAGCTACTTGTTTGATTCGCCTTAATTACTGGAAGCTAATCTGGATAAACATCCTCCTTATCTAACCGCTCATAGTAAGTTGCCCGTTTCTCTTGTGTCCCCTTTGATTCGAACATTATGTGCGTATACATCTTATCCGGACCCCAAATCATCGAAAACTACTCTTAAAATTTGATTCGTCTGTGGAACACATACCTTCAATGATATGAACTTTTTCCCCTTTCAAGTCTTCAGTCTTAGCCCTTAGGTTCCGTGCTTGTGCTAACCTCGTTCTAATTGAGTTGATTAAGACGCATGACCAGATGATTAAGACGCATAACCTAATCGATACATTTGTGTCTATTATTCCAAAAAATATTCTCGTCTGCTAACTAATTTCTGCATTTGCACCAGCAGCTAAGCAATAGGGTCCCACTACCCTTGCCCACTTGGCTCTAGCACCTGCTTTCATTTCCTTATCCAAGTCGGATTACAAACTCTATATATAAGTCCTCCTTAATTCTCAGAAAGTCAGAGACACACTCCACTTACCATTCTCATTTCTATACTGAATCATTCCCACTTCCTCACACCAGTCCAACAATGCATCCCAAGATTTTGCCTTTGATGGCTACTTTCACCATTTTCGCCACCTTTCTTCTCACTTTAGTCCAGACCGAGGAGCAGCATATTGTTCTAATGGACTTCAATGTCATGCCAAAAGCCTTTCAAACTCCACGCCACTGGCACCTAGCCTCTTTGTCGTCGATTTCGCAGTCAGAATACCCTGCCTCCAAGCTAATCTACTCCTACTCCAACGTCATCAACGGATTTTGTGCTTCCCTCACCGACTCGGAGCTCGAATCAATGAAAGCTTCTCCAGTCTTCCTCCACTCGATTCACAACTCACCAGTCAAATTCGACACCACGCACTCGACCGACTTCCTGGGACTCACCGCCGTTTCCTCTCCCGCTTGGGAGTCGTCCAATTACGGGGAAGGGATGATCATCGGGGTCGTTGACACGGGCGCCTGGCCGGAGAGCGACAGCTGCGGTGACCACGGGATGGGTCCAGCCCCGGCGAGGTGGAAAGGGCAGTGTCACTTCAACAACGGCTCGCTCTGTAACAACAAGCTTGTTGGAGCGCGCGTCTTCAACAATTCCCTGATCGTAGCCAACATCAGTATGCTCTGCAGCGACTCTCCCCGCGACTGCGACGGACACGGGACCCACACGTCCAGCACCGCAGCCGGTAGCTTCGTGGACCGTGCCTCCTATTTCGGCTACGCTCGTGGAACGGCGAAGGGGACCGCTCCTAAGGCCCACGTCGCCGTCTACAAGGCGTTGTTCGGCGAATACTCTTCCCCGTGTGACGCCGTCGCCGCAATCGATCAAGCAGTTGCTGACGGCGTGGATGTACTGTCCATATCGTTTGGCTACGATCACATCCCGCTGCACGAGGACCCAATCGCCGTCGCAACATTCGCGGCCGTACAGCGGAATGTATTCGTCGCCACGTCAGCCGGGAATGCCGGCACGGACCTTGGGGCCCTCCACAACGGGATTCCCTGGGTCCTCACCGTCGCTGCCGGAACAATTGACCGCCGATTCCGGGCGCGGCTCAAAATCGGAAACGGATTCTCGGTTTTCGGGTCGTCTCTGTACCCGGGAACCACTCCACCAACGAATCCCCGGTCGTCTTCATGGGCGATTGCGCCAACGCGACAGAGGAATTAATCAGAGGCAAGGTCTTGGTGTGTCAAGGGTTCAATCAGCTTCTCAGCCTCAACAATTCCGGCGCCGTCGGGGGAGTATTCGTAACCAATGTCACCGAATCGCTCCTCGAAGAATTGATCCAGATTTCAGTGCCGGCAATTTTCATAACCACGGAGGACGGGCAGAATGTGGAGAACTACTTGAGGAGCCACCCGGCAGCGAAAGGGAGCTTAGAATTGGGGCTCACCAGCTTTGACTTGAGCCCAGCGCCTACGCTCGCGAGTTACAGCTCCCGAGGCCCATCACACAGTTGCCCGTTGGTTCTGAAGCCCGACATAGTTGGGCCCGGATCATTGATACTCGCGGCCTGGCCCTCCAACATCAAGCCCAATGAGAACAGCCCGAATTCTTTACACACCGAGTTCAACCTTTTGTCCGGCACTTCAATGTCGTGCCCACATCTCGCCGGAGTGGGAGCGCTCATCAAGAAGGCGCACCCGGAGTGGAGCCCTGCCGCGATTCGATCGGCGATGATGACGACGGCGGATTCGCTCGATCTCTCCAATCGGCCGATCAAAGATGCGGGCAAAAGTGAACGCACGTCCACAGCTTTTGTAATCGGGGCGGGTCACGTCAACCCCAACAAGGCGCTAGACCCCGGTCTAGTCTACGACGCCGGCGCGATCGATTATGTCAACTTGCTGTGCGGAATGAATTTCACCGCTAAGCAAATTCGAGCCATCACACGATCGTCCACAACCAACCTCTGCTCTGCACCAACTCTCGACCTCAATTATCTGTTACGGACTACGTACGAGTAGCGAGTGAGATAGTACGTAGTGTCCATGTCCATTAGTCTTTGTTTGAGGGCTGTTTAGCATTTATCCCTAGCTGAGTGATGAGAAGGGATATTGTGCATGCTTATATATATATGTTGCTGCCGTGTGCATGGTATTGTATCTGTTGAAGGGATTTCTAAACCCTAATAATAAAACCTAACCGAAGACTCCTTGAGTGGGTCTTCCGTGGATTAGTCTTGCTCGCATTGAGCAAGGATACCACGTAAATCGCTGCGTATTGTGTGCTTCGTTCTCATATTTGACATGGTATCAGAGCTGTGAGCAGAGATTCACGGCGGTTGTTCTTCTGATTCTTTGGGATGAGTTCCGACGACGAGACGACGACGACGGACCCCAAGCTGAAGACTCCGGTGCCCGAGACGCGGCCCATGGGTTCTGGTTCTGGCAGCGGCTCGTTTTTCCCTCCTGCGTTCGTTCTCCATAACTCGGACAGTCCAAATCAGCTCTTTGTCGGTGAAGTTCTCACTGATTCCAACTACACCGAATGGCTCGGTGACATCACTGATTCTTTTATTGCCAAGAATAAAGTAGGGTTTGTTGATGGTTCTATCCCGCAACCCTCTGATGGTCCTCTCCGCGATCAATGGAGGATTTGCGATGCGATGGTTAAAGGTTGGCTGAAGACGGCCATGAGCAAGGAAATCCGCTCAAGTGTCCGCTTCGCCAACACTGCGCGTGACATTTGGCTTGACCTGGAGGCTCGTTTCGGCCAGCCAAGCGCGCCTCGACTCTATGCGCTGCGCAGGATGATCAGCGCCCTTCAACAGGAGAAGTCTAGCGTCTCCAGTTTCTACACCAAGCTTCGGGGATTGTGGGATGAAATCCAATCTATCTCCCCAGCTCCCGATTGTCATTGCAACGGCTGCACATGTGATGTTAAACGCAAGTTTCGTGCTACCAAGAACAGCGAGCAACTTTTTGACTTCCTTATGGGTCTCGACGACGCCTTTTCCACGGTCAAGACGCAAATCTTGGCCATGAGGCCTACCCTGAGCCTTGCGGAAGCATACCAAATGGTTAGCAATGACGAACAGCAAAGGCGCATTGCCCAGGCTCGGCGTCCCAACGTTGAGGCCGCCGCATTTCATGCCCAAGACGAGCGCACTACCTCGCGTGGCTCTGCTGGGCGCTCTTCTGATTCTACTAAGCCTCGATACTTTTGTGACCATTGCAAGAAAACTGGCCACACAAAAGATCGTTGCTATGAGCTAATTGGCTATCCTGATCGCACCGCGGGGAAGGCAGAGCGTGGTACTCGCTCCAAGGGTGGAGATCATGCCAAGGCACCTCCACAGGCGGCCCAAGTTGGCGCCAACGTCAGCCCGATTCCTGGTCTTACTTCTTCTCAGTTCGAGCAGCTCAAGAATATGTTTGGGGGCGAGTTGAAGCACGCGTCGAATTCTGCTGATAAGGCGACAGGTACTTCCTCTTATTCTCCCGACATAAATGATGCATGGTTGATTGATACGGGCTGTAACGAACACATCGTGAATAATCCCGATTTAGTACATGGATCACAAGTAGAACCGGGTTTACAGGTTCGGGTTCCTAATGGTTCAACAATTGATGTGACTCGCATTGGTGAGGTTCGGCTGTCCAATGGGTTGGTCTTACCTCGGGTGCTGTTAGTTCCGGAATTTAAATGCAACCTGTTGTCTGTTAGTCAGCTTACTCGGGACTTTTCTCTGGCTTTGATTTTTCTCCGGGACTTCTGTGTGATACAGGACTTACCCTCGAAGATGATTATTGGGACGGGGAACCAAGCTAATGGCCTCTACTACTTGCGCCTCTTCGATGGGCTTCGTCGCGAGATGGCTCATGCTGTACGAGGACATGTCTCCGTTGATCTTTGGCATTCCCGGTTGGGACACCCGTCGCCCGAGAAGTTGGATTTATTGCATTTATTCCCTCGAACTACTAGCACCAATAAAACTCTATGCTCATCTTGTTTACGGGCAAAACAGTCTCGTTTAGCTTTTCCTTCCTACTCGATTCGCAGTACTCGACCATTTGAGATTGTTCATGTTGACATTTGGGGCGGTTATAAGGTCCCTTCTTTGAGTGGAGCTCAGTATTTTCTTACTGTTGTCGATGACTTCACTCGTGGTGTCTGGATTTATCTTCTTAAGTTTAAGTCTGAGGCTGGCAGGTATTTGCAACTCTTTGTTCGACAGGCTTTGCGGCAGTTTGGTGCCTCGGTTCAGGTTATTCAGACTGATAACGGTTCTGAGTTTCAACCACTGAGCTGATTGATTTTTATATTCATGAAGGCATTCACTTACAGACTTCATGTGTTAATACTCCACAGCAGAATGGGATTGTCGAGCGTAAGCATCGACACATCCTCGATACAGCCCGTGCTCTCAGGTTTCATGCCAACTTGCCTCGCCGGTTTTGGGGGGAATGTGTTCTCACGGCTGGATATTTGATTAATCGTCTTCCGCACAGTTCGCTTGGGAATCAGACGCCATATGAGCGCCTTTTTGGTCGCCGTCCTCACTACGCTCACCTTCGAGCTTTCGGCTGTTTGGTTTATTGCAAGGACACTCGTCACCATTTGGACAAATTTGGTGAACGCGGTCGCCCCTGTGTGTTTCTCGGCTATCCTCCTTCACAAAAAGGATACCGTGTCTACGAGTTATCGTCTCACCGGATCTTCACTTCACGTGATGTCGTTTTTGACGAGACGACCTTCCCTTTTCATTCCTTGGCCAGCGACATCACCCCAATGTCGCGACCTCTTCCTCCCTCTCCTGTCCCGGCTGATGACGACGATGAAGAGCTGGTGGTTCCTGCTCCCGAGACCACCGCTGCTTCTCCACCGATGGACCCTCCCTCTCCTTCGGTCACTCGGCCTGTTCCTGAGGCACCCGGCGGATCTCCTTCACTCTCTCGGCCAGAGGAGGTCTCCCCCGACAGCTCCTCTTCTTCGGCGGCAGATGGTCTGGATTCCCCTTTGTCGGCGTCCCCCGCTTCTAGTCCGCCGATCCCTGCTCCATCGGCATCACCGCCTCCTCCCCGACGCAGTGATCGGGTCCGCAAACCCTCTGTTCGTCTTGCAGGTTATGAAACTACCTTCCCTACTTCTCATACTGCGGATGTGAAATATCCATTATCTGCTTACGTTACTTTCACTCGGCTTTCAGCTAACCACCGTGTTTTTGTGTCAGCGGTGGATACATTGGTGGAACCACAGTTTTTCCACGATGCTGTCAAGCTGGCTTGTTGGCGCGAGGCCATGCAGCGCGAAATTGCTGCTCTGGAGGCCAATGGTACCTGGGAATTGACTGATCTCCCGCCCGGCAAGCGCGCCATTTCGTCTAAATGGGTCTACAAGATTAAGTTTAATCCAGATGGCAGTGTCGAGCGTTACAAAGCTCGTCTCGTTGCCAAGGGTTTCACCCAAGTTGAGGGTGTTGATTACCACGATACCTTCGCCCCCGTTGCGAAGCTCGTGACCGTTCGCTCTGTTCTGGCTGTTGCCGCCCATCGTGGTTGGCATCTTCACCAGCTCGACGTTAATAACGCATTCCTCCACGGTGATCTTGACGAGGAGGTCTATATGAAGCTCCCTCCAGGTTTTGCTCGACCGGGGGACAACAGGGTATGCCGTCTTCGCAAATCCCTTTATGGGCTGAAGCAGGCTTCACGGAATTGGTACATGAAGTTTACTCAGTCTCTACAGCAGTTCGGTTTTCAGCAATCTAAGGCCGACCATTCTCTTTTTACTTATCGTCGGGCTGGAGCTTACGTGTTTGCATTAATTTATGTGGATGACATCGTGCTTGGCGGTGATGATCTGGCCACCATTCAGCGGGTCAAGAGTTTTTTGCAGGAGCAGTTTAGTATTAAAGACCTTGGAGTCTTGAAGTATTTTTTGGGCATCGAAGTTGCCCGATCTCGTACTGGTCTTGTCTTATCTCAGAGGAAATATGCACTTGACATCTTGAAGGACGCTGGAGCCCTTGCAGTTAAGCCCTGCGCCTTCCCCATCGAACAAAATCACCATCTCACCAGAATTGAAGGCCCAGCTGCTCGTGATCCTTCTGGTTTTCGTCGATTGGTCGGACGTCTACAATATTTGACTGTCACTCGTCCCGATATTGTCTATGCTGTTAATATATTGAGTCAGGCTGTGCACTCTCCGCGCCAGGAGCACGAGGATGCAGCCCACCGAGTGCTGCGGTACCTAAAGGGGGCGCCCGGACGTGGTTTACGTTTTCCCACAGCAGGTAATCTCAGTCTCACTGCCTTTTGTGATGCAGATTGGGGTGGATGTCAGAGTACGCGTCGTTCCACCACCGGCTATTTCATCAAATTAGGAGATTGCCCGGTTTCATGGCGGACCAAGAAGCAATCCGTCGTAGCCCGGTCGTCTGCAGAAGCAGAATATCGAGCCATGGCTAGTACTGTTAGCGAACTGATCTGGCTTCGCTGGTTACTTAATGATCTGGGAGTGACCAGTCCTTCAGCGACACCACTGCACTGTGATAATCAGGCGGCTTTACACATCGCTGCCAACCCCGTTTTTCATGAGCGCACGAAGCATGTGGAGATGGACTGCCATTTCGTGCGTGAGCGTGTGGCCTCTGGCGAGATAGATCCACAGAAGATTTCATCTCACGACCAGGTTGCCGATCTTTTTACTAAAGGTCTCGGTGCAGACCAGTTCTCTTTCTTGTCTTCCAAGCTTGGCTTGCATGATATTCACGCCTGCGCTTGAGGGGGCGTGTTACGGACTACGTACGAGTAGCGAGTGAGATAGTACGTAGTGTCCATGTCCATTAGTCTTTGTTTGAGGGCTGTTTAGCATTTATCCCTAGCTGAGTGATGAGAAGGGATATTGTGCATGCTTATATATATATATATGTTGCTGCCGTGTGCATGGTATTGTATCTGTTGAAGGGATTTCTAAACCCTAATAATAAAACCTAACCGAAGACTCCTTGAGTGGGTCTTCC